ATATTTGTATGGTTGGAGGGGTGAGAGATTTTCGGGTTTTCTACCTGGAGCATTCGAGCTGAATTTTACCCGACGGTGTGCTTGGCAAACGTCTTTTCAGAATTATACACTCTCCCCTGAGTGAAATTATCAAAATATCTCGGGTGGAGAGACAGAGAAAGGGCTGATTACATTAAAATCTAGGTGATAAATTATCGAATATTGAGGATTGTATAAATAAATAAATAAATTAAATTAAGCACTCGATTTACGGAATGATATTAACTGTAAATGGCACTAATTTTAGGAGAAATAGATTCTAAGTGATTAACTTAATTAAGAGGTAGATTTTGATACCAAATTGCGATCGGAGGTATTGATAATTTGTCACTGGTAGTCATTGCAATCACTGGTATTCGTTGAATCAGTCGAATTAACTCCGATCGTGATTATTATTTTTTTGCTTATTCCACTGATTTGGTGCATTAGCAAGCACATTATTATGTTTTTCATTAGCAAGGCTAAGTGAGATACGACTCGTCCGTTTTTGCGAGGAAGTGTTTAGCCTCCATACGCATAAAAGGTGATATCATTGATCCTTCTCGTATTCCGTGCTTGAGTTTGATATGCCTTTTGAGATTGTCGGACCTTGTCAATGATATCATGCATATCTGACACTGATACTTGTCAGGAAAATGTGATTTCATGTGTTTTTTAATATTGGCAACGGTCTTACCGCATAGCCTACAACCCCCTGCACCAAGCTGTCCGTCTAATTTATTCTGATTTTCATAGTCAATATCCTTCTCAATTTTCGTTGCCGTTGTTCCTGGAATTTGCAATAATCCCATTTGTTTCAGTTATCAAATTTCTATTGTTATTTTTGTTTTTCGATAATTTCTTGCGAAATGCTTTTTGTTGCACACTCCCAAAAGTCATCTACTGTTTGCACTCTTCTACTTCTTGTTTGTTGCCAAGATAGATAAATAATAAAATAGGAACATAAATAGATGGAGAAAGTAATCCAGTATGCAGCACAGTGCGAAGGTAGTTTTTTTTTTGGAAATTCCTACTATCACTCTTTTCGTTCGGTAGCATCGAGGAAACTCAAACCGCCATATCTCCTTCGAACGCTTTAAAAACTACTTCATACATCTACAAGTTCATGTTTTCACTTTAGATTCTTGCGATAAACATGGGAGAGAGAGAGAGTGAGAAAGACACCAATTGATACAAAATAATAAACCAACCAAAAAAAATCACAATTCAAACAAATGAAATCACAGAGCTAGCTTAGGAGAAGGATGAACATCGACAGAAGGAACTCAATAGCTCGTTGAGGAGACAATTTTCGGTGTCGGGGGACTGACTCCCGGATATTTGCCGTCGACACCACTTCAACATTCTTATTCACACGTGATTCGAGGCTGAGAATTCTTACAGAAATGACGACGAGCTGCGATTTGCACAAGACGCGGCAATGACAATGTGAATTGGATTGAAAGGACTTCAATGAGGGATTGATTTTTCAATTAAAAATACAAGTGGATATTGAAAGGAATGAGAATGCGGAGGGCATGCATAGGTGAATACTCGAAATTAATTATGCATTGTAAATACATAATTGATATTTGCACGTAATAATTAGAAAACCCGTTAGCCCGCTTTTACGAGGTACAGTAAAACAATAAAACGTGTGAAATAAGTAAGGGGCGCCCAATTAGATGAGGCGAGAAAAAGAGAGAAAGAGAATAACTAGTCACTCGGTAGAATTAAGTGTCACACATTCAGGCCCAACGCACCAAAAATTTCAGACAATAATCTAGTACTGTTCGAGGCTCACCAAACTAAACTAACAAGGGAAAATCACACTTTCACACTCACACCCAACAATTGTTAGATGAGCTTAATCCCTCGGCAATGTGGTTAATTGAGATATTTTACATAATTTGATGTCAAGACTTGTGAGACTGGGAGAGACCAGTTGTTTATATTTCGGCATTGTTACAACATTTAAGGGATATGCACGATACCACCACCACAACAGTAAAAGGCGCAGTGGATAAACCGTTTGCTTTTTCATTGCTTCATTGTCTTAATTGTAGGTTTTTACCGATTCTCGAATGAGATGTTGGGTATTGGCCTTTGCGGTCATTGGCAGAGTCGAAGGATTATCATGATGTATACAAAGTCGTAATAAGATCGTAGTGATGCTCGTCTTACTCGTCATCTAGATAATTTCAATCGTTACCTACTAGCCTATTATAGCGCAATATCAGGAAGAATTGTACTCACTGTTTTTTACGATTATTTCTCGTTTCGGATTTTTTGTTTTCATCTTATAGTTTGCGCAATGAATATGCCCCCAATGATCATCCCGCAAAGGGGGTCGAAATATTGGACAATGAATTGAGTCCATGGCTGAGGTTTTTCTTCGCTTGAACCCTTTCCTTCATCATAATCCTTCGAGGCTTCTAATGACCGCAGAGATCGATACTTAACATCTCATTGCTTGACAGTATAAATCTTTCAGAGTAGTATGTATTAATACATATAGATATTAGGTACATATACACTGAGAAAAAGTGAGAAGTACTCGATGGATTATGACGAAGTATACGAGCCGCAATGAGGTTGTAGTGATGCTCATTAGTCATCTAGATAAATTTAATCATTTCTTCCTGGTGTATTATACCGCAATATCACGAAGAATCGTATCCGCTGTTTTTTACTGATTATGTCTCGCTTCTGATTTTTGTTTTCATCTTATAGTTTGCATAATAAGTGCGCCCTGATCATGACTCCGCGGGTTGAAATATTGAACAATGAATTCACTCCCTCTTTCCTTCATCATAATCCCTCGAGTCTGCTGATGACCGCACAAGCCGATACCTAACATCTCATTGCTTGACAGTATAAATCTTTAAAAGTAATACGTATATGCGTATGAATACACATAGCCATTATGATACATATGTACAGAGAAAAGGTGGGAAGTACTCGGTAAATTTTCTCTTCGTAATAATTTACACTCGTTTACACGCTCCGGAAAATTGTTGCATTACGGAGGGGGGGGGGAGGGATCGGGGCGGGGGATATGCTCATCTCGTACAGGCTAGCCCGTAAAACGCCAGTTTCCAAGGAGTCATTCCAAACGTGCATGCACAATATTTCCCTCAATTTTACCGAGGCGCCCAATGGCGCACTTAACCTCCAACTCACAATTTTAATTAAATTATGAGAATGACCGTTAGATCTGAAGTAACAAGTATGGGGATAGTTAATTGTGGGTAATAAATTGTGCATTTTGTTTTCTCCGCTGTTATTTTCTGTGGGCTATTCACTGGTTGTAATAGTTTGCCGGTAAATGCACTTGAGCTCCTCGGTATAACTTGAAGGTTTTCCAAATGGGAATAGAAAAAAAATGTGAGAGTAGGAGAAAAGTGTTCAAAGTCTTACCATCAAGTCCGTCGAGCATTTCAGGTGGATTGTGGTGCTCAGACGGTTCCATTCCTGGTACACCGTCGCTGAGCGCCCCCGCCGCCGGTCCCCCGTCTTCCCCCAACATTCCGACCGGATGACCCTGGGGGGAAAAATAAATAATAGGTGAGCAATCGGTCGACATCAATTATCATCAGAAAAAGAAAAATAAACACTGATTCATAGGTATCAACGATTTATTGTCATTATGTAGTTACATTCAATTGATTTTTCATATATTCCTCGCAGGGAAATATTAATGATAGAAAATTTGAAAACATGCAGGACTATCATTCCTTAGTAAAGACGAAAATAATTGCTCTCTTAGAATTTAAAAGGGTAACTGCTATATACCGATGGACGAACGTATTATATTTCCTTTTTTTTTAATTCGTGGCTGGATAAATTGAACGCAATTTATGTGTGGAAATTTAACGCAGGGACAGCTGATTGGGGAATCAGCACGGAAATAAACACTCCGAGGCTTTGTAATTTATTCACGTATGCGGATTCAAATTGCAATTTGACCGGGGTCCTCATTCTTATCATTCAGCGATATTTTTTTTGATTCCTCTGCTAAACAGCCCTTGAAACGCTCATTTTCACAATTCAATAATGTCCCGGCCATCCTTAAAATTAATATATTCACACTCCCCCGTACAATCATACATCTAAAAGTGCAAAAGTCATCTCAAATGTAAATTCAAGATACATCATTTGCATGGTGAAAATTAAGGCACATACAGTACTTGATTGCGCACGTATTGAACACAGATTACCTGAGGCAGGAATTGTACAATGGAATTTTTTTCAACAAACTCGACTAGTTGTGCTTGAAGAAAAATTGAACCAAATGTTCAGTCAAAGTTGTACAAATAAAATAAATGCAGAATGAACAACATAGAGAATAAAAAATTATCGCGGCACTGTTGTAACATGAGTTTATCACAATAACGAATTCCTCGGCTCTCCATTGTCATCAAAGGAGGCGAGAGCCACAAACTAGACGATTTATATACAAGGAAACATGGAACGATGGAGGTAAATAGACGCGAGGGTAAGATGGAGGGACACAGGAGGGGGATGTGTTCCGGCCCTTTCCCTGTGAAGTTCAGAGCGTCAAAGCGAAGAGACAAGTCCATCAAAACGCATACAGGGAGAGAAAAAACGATCTAATATCACGAAACTAATCTCTCAAGCCGAGTATATCATCTGTTATTGAATTCCTTTAAGTTTTCACGACTTGAGCATGAACATTTCACTATGAAGTGAGGTATTCTGGGCTCAAGAAACCGTTCTTTTTCGCATCACGAGATGAGAAAATGACTCTGAATGTAAAACACGCGCAAAGGAAAACCTCCGAGCATTACTGAAATATAACCGTCCCTTGCATTCGATCGTAATGACTTCAGGAAAAATGACCTCATCCCGTCTCTTTTAAAAAAATTATTGATTTCTTGCATTGATTTTTGCCACAAGAAATTATTTTTGCGTTGTTAGTTCGTTTTCTCTAGGATTGACCGTAGTCAAAGTTGTAATCACACCCCTTAGTCTCGCCCTCTTTGGAAACACATATATTATGAGCCTTGCATTTATCGTGATGATTAACAATCTCAAGGCGAAAATTTCCATTGCCAGCGGCAAACGATGTGCGTATCTCTGGTACGGTGGCACTCCACTTTCTGCAGTATTTACAGAACATTAAATTTGATTGCTCGTCATACTGCAGCCAGGGATAAATATCAAGCCACGAGGGCTTGAATCTCCCTGCCTTCCTACCCGGTGGCGTTGGCCGCTGTGAATTGCCACATAATGTCGATTGTATTACTGAAATTCCCTGCCTAAATGCACTAGTACTACTCTCGTCGCGATAATTTTTGTAACTAGCCTCGTCATTTGGATTCCGATAGGGAATAGCGTCGGGTATTCTAAATGATCTTTCATACGCATTGCGATCTGTATGTGGGACTTGGGTGTTTTTAATGGGCCTTATATGCTTGTCGTTGTACTCCGGTGACATATCGAGTGACATTGAGCCTCCAGCCATGATTGTACTCTCGCGACAGTTTTGAAAAGAAGCCGCGCCTGCTGGACGTTCGGGTTGTCTCACTAAGCTCTGTACATCCATTGTTTCATCATTCTTCCCATCTCTCTGAACATCCCACTCCACACTAGTCTGTCAACAGAGAAGGAAAGGATGTGTGTTTAATTCAACACATTCTCAATTGTTTCTCTCTTTCTTCTTTTCCGTTTTTTCATTGAAAAGTTTAGGTTACTTTTCTCATTTTTTTTTCTCTTTTGACGTAACTAACAATCCCTTCCTTTCAATGTTTCGACTCAGTATATCGTTGGACATCGTTTACACCCCGAACGATGGGAGTACTTTAATGAGCGATCGAATGGGAAAAATTTAAGTTTTTTCTCTTTGAAACTGGAGACGATGGGAAAAATGATAGTGGCGCAGTTTCGTACACCTACCTAGCCAGAATGTTTAGAGGAAAAAAAAACAAAGGGGGGAAAAAAACTGGTCGCAGGGTCAACTGTGGTAGCGCAACCTTCCGTGAATGCTTACACAATCACGTCATACGTGTCCGTCAGGCTGTGAGGACTTGTGAAAATGTTTAGAGGATAATCATCTGTCATTACACGGAGATGATTGAAATACTTTGATGATAAAATCAATTGAATACTGGAAGAATCATGCAAAACTACCAGTGCTTGAGAATTATCAGAGCTTAATAGTTAGGCTAATGATTTTTCAGTGTGCAGATTATGGACAAAGGTCAATCATTCGAGAGGTGGTACTGCTTCATTATTCACATAAGAGAGGAATAAAAGATAACGACAATGTCGTGTTATGTACTCATGCAAACCATGTTAACACAATTGTTATTCAACTTACAGGTAGTGAAATGTTGTCATGAAAGTCAGGCATGTGGTGATCGAGTTCTTGTTTTATAGCCGCCTGCGCCTGCGACGACGGTGACATTGTCCTACCCCCGTCCTCTGCATCGCCGCCTAGTGTATTGTTTAACTTTGGAATCACTGTGGGACTCGATTTGTAACTACATTGAGATGATGCCTGAAATTAAAAAAATCAACGAAATATTCCACTGTTAATTTTGGGTTTTTTTTTTAAGTCATTTTGGAATGTACATAGTCGAATTGAATTCATTGTTTGTCTCCTTTGAACAGGCCATAACAGTTCATGAACATTATGTTGAAGCAGTAAAATTATGGGACAGGTGATGTGATAAAAGGCAACGATGTATAGGATATTTGTACCAGTCCAATTCCCAAGGTCGTGCGAAACGTTATTTGAAGAGCTGAGTAATCAGTCATTCGTTCATGTCTTTACGGCTATACGAATTGGTAAAGATAATAATTAGCATTTATATTTAGGTGTGAAGGCAAATAGACGTAATAAAAGAACTGCAAAGGTTGAGAGTTTGTTGAAAATAAAAAAATTATTTCAATAGTCTGGACGGCTAAACTTTCTACAATATACAACGATGCCATCTGAATGCTGTGGCAGTTGCTAACATCATTGTTTCCGTTGGCAGACTTTTCAAGGACACCAGGTACTACAAATCCAGTTGGAATAAAAATAATTATCATGCCTGCCCATATATGTGGCCGAGTGAAACGGAAGAAGAGACAAAATGAGACGAGCAAAAAAAAAAGGAAGGAATATCAGCAAAAAGGCAAAAATATCTCTGCGCTAAATAACATTCGCGGAGAAAGGGACTGTACTCGGGAGGGAAAAAAAGGACAAAAATACGTCTGACTCAATGCGCAAAGAATCCTAGTCAAAATCTAGGCCAAATAAAATGTATATTAGGACCGGTGGGTGAAAGTTTTTTGAAAGTTTACGAAATAAAGGACTATTCACTAAGGGGCAAAATCCAGTGACTTTATCGGGATAGACAAACTGAGTATCAAGATAAGAAATCGTCACTGATATTTTTCCATTCAGACTTTGTACGAATTTCAAAGTGAAAAATGTAAAGAGAAAAAAATCATTCAACTTTCATAATTCATGTAACAAATTGATGAGTATCTCTGCCGATTCATACGTATTCATGTGAGTAAAAACGTAATAGCCACAATAATGAGATTTTTATATGGATTAATTAACACACTTGGCTCGAGTCTAATTAGTTAACAGATGTGGCACAGGGTTCAGTGCGTTATTAAATATACTCTATGTAAAATAAATACAATTCCAATTAACCCGAGTGAGAAGATGGATTACCAGGTGGTATTCAAGTCAGTGAGATCCCTTCAACCTTAACTATTAATATCAAATCCCCTATTTCCATAAATACAAAGAAAAAAAAAAGGAAACCACAGCGCGATCAGCATCAATAAAATCGGTCAATTGTGCAGCAAATGATGGTTCAATTTACATGAATATGTTTACGTGTGGCTATTAATGTTCAGGATCACGTGAGCGAAAATACAATGTCACGTGGTCAATCTCAATGTTAACAATATTTGGTTGAATTTTTTGGTAGAGCTCTTGAAAATTTTGGGTCAGGTTGAGGGGTGAATAGGGCAAGATGGATATTTTTACTATTTTTAAAAATTTAGTGGCTTATTGATTTGTTGATGGATTGGACTATTTTTTTCCATCGAATGTAATTCTTTCTCTTCATGATAAATTTGTTTATAAGTTATGAACATTGAAGAAAAATGTAGAAATTTCGTTGGATTTCGTTGTTGAAGATTCAAAATTTGATGAAAAAATGAATGGAAATTGTAGATTTCTGTGCAATTGTTCTATGAAAATTCACAGAAATCAGGGAGATTCAGATAAATATATTTTTCAATTTTTAACAATCAGTAATATTTTTTGATTAAAAATTCAAGTGAATTAGGAATGTCTCATTTTCTTGCTGCTAAAAAATGTGAAATTTTATGATTTTTTTTCTCCCTTAAAAATTAATGTTCCATGAAATCTCCATTTTCTTCTAACAGTGCTGTTAAAAATTTTGGCTATAATTTACGGTACACTTCTTGGAATTTTATAATTGACTCGAAATTTAATGGAAAAATCAATGAAAACAGTAAATTTCAGTTCAACTATTCCATTAAAATCTATAGAAATCAGGAAAATTTATGTAAATATATTTTTGAATTTTCAATTAACTGAAAATTCAGAGAAATTTGGTACTGAATATTCACTCTTTAATTTATAATTCGAATAAATTAAAATGTCAAAGATTCCAAACTCTGTAAAAATAAATGAAAACCCTCGATTTCAGTTCAATAATTCCCTAAAAATTCATAGCAATTAGAAAAAAGCATGTGAATATATTCTTGAATTTCCGATCTACTAAAAATTCACGTCACAATAAAAAATTCATTGAATTTCCCAAATAACATTCAACGTCCTCCTGAAAACCTCCAATCTCCTCACCCCAAACTCCAATATTTTTCCTCCCCCTCATCGCCAAAAAATCCCCAATACAAAATAATAAAAATTACCTGAGAGTCGGACAAGAAGCGTTCGCTGGGTGGTCCAGTGAGTGAAACATCATAATTCCCCGAGGCTTTTCGTTTCCTCTTCTCAGGATGTGGCTGTAGGTTAGGTGAATCACTGTGCCTAACACTGCTCTGTGTTTCCGGCTCAGGTGATGGACTCCTCTCAGTTTTATTATTTACACTATTATCGGTCAATCCGCGTATCTGTAACGCCTCAGCTGTCTTAAGGAACATTGGTAATAAATGTTGGCTAACATTAACCTCTCCTTTGTACATAAAATGCAGCAGTGCCTTCATCTCCGTATCTTTGACATCCTTCAAAAATATTATAGGATGTGGATGGGTATTCTGTAGAAATACATTCTCAAAATATGGACTGCATGCTGATAATATCGTCTGATGTGCTTTGAATTGTTTTATGTGCGTTTCATTAACGCAAGCAAGTGTAACGTCACACAGTGCTTCTCTTGCCAATAGTGAGCTGAGTACGTCCGTCAAGTTGGCCGGATGATTGTTCCACCGAAGGCAATACTGCTGGTCCATCTTGTCTATCTCCAATCCCGACCCTACAACCAAACTTACTGAAGTTCCACTTGTATTAAAAAAAAGACACTTTGGTGATGTTTATTTACTCCCATCAAAGCCCACAACCCCCACCTCACCCCCTCCCCAACAATAGAATCACTTATTGTGGATTTAACCCTTAGACCCTGACTCGCACGTTACTTTTTATCTATTTATCTCCTTCCGTTTTTCTCCTTCTCCCTCTCTCTCCTCTCTCTCTCTCTCTCTCCCTCTCCTTCTCTCCTCTATTATTCACAATACAAACTATCTCTTTCTAATTTTATAATTTCTCAAAACTCGTTGCTCCCGTCTACGAATGATTATCGTTATTGTGCGAGACGGGCCAGGCCCAAACCGAGCCAGCTGTAATATTTTCCTCAACTATCCACACCGTCTCTAGGCCCACTCTACGCTTCTGCAAATGTGCCACATTGCAGTATAACTGTAAAACCCTTCAGGGTTCACGAGCCGCTACTATACGTGCCAAAAACATTTTTTCGCATAACCTCGTTGCCGTTTTTTTTTCTCAACATTTCCGCAAAACAGTTGGCTGTATTATGATGCACAAATACTCGTACAAACCTCAATGCGTCCCTTGGTTTACTCCGGCGAGTTTAATAGCGCCCGGGGGTGAGGGGGAGGGTATTTATTGTACACATGAACACATTTGAGTTTAGGTTAGAGGGATTATTGCGACGCAGTTGCTAAATCAACTGCCGTTTTTATTCCGCCCACGTATTTACAAAATTTTTTGGGAGACGCGCGCGGGCGGGTGGTGAGTACCTGTTTTTTTCTTCTTTTTTTTTCGATAAAAATGGAGGAAAAATTCAACGCGGAGGTAATGTTTTCGGCACTGTCAATATTCGCGATGCTTGGGCGCCATTGTCGGTCGTGCTTCTATGGCACACGAGACTCCACACAAGCGAAAATGTACTATTTGTTGACGAGGCGACGCCAGACGCCGTCGTATTCTCTCGCTGCTACGGCGTGCTACTTTGATTCTCTCTATTCTCTCTGATTCTCCCCCTCGCATTCACCGGACATTATTATTTCATCCCCCACAGCACTAACAATCCACTATTCACTATTTATCGGTGGTTATTTGTATTGTTTGTAGTCGGGTAATGATTACTCACCTTTTGCAAACTTTTTGCCATTACAACGCCACCCGACCCTTAACGTCCACTGCCATACCAATCTGCCAATGCCTACGGCCTTATTTTTAAAATACTTTTGACCTTCGTGCATCTGCCGTGTGGCGGGCGACGGGCGGATCAAGTGGGCTCTCCTACTGGCTGACAACGCAAACTCCAGTGGTGGCGGCGCGCGAAAATGAGCGGTACTTTTTGAATTTGTCGATTGTGCGTCGACGTGCACTGGGGGATTGGGTGACTCAACACTTTTTGGTTATCGCGCGTGACAAATAACGCATTTCGGGGGATGGGGTTTTTTATCTCCGTGGATTCTTTTTTTATCTTCAAGGTGGAAAGAAATTCGACGACACTGCACGTACGCTTGATTGGATTTTAGGCATTTTTTTTACGGGAGGCGGAAATGTGCGGCTGGAGATTCTGTCGGGATGCTCTCGACGGTTTCAGGCTCTGAGGGGATTTAATTGGCGAAATTGCCCCGGGTCTCGGCGGTAATTGTTTCTTTTTTTCCGCAGTTTTCCAAAGTTTTTTCAGTTTCGGGACGATTCCTAGAGGTTGAAATAATTCGATGTAATTAGGAAGGCAAACTACTTTTGATTTTGCAGGTCGCTGTTCTGGAGCGCTCATCGATTCGAATTGAAAATTCAAATGTGTTAGGTCTTGGCTTTGCGTTTTTATTCACTTCTTCGAAGATTTTTTTTTCTATTTCGTTGATTCTTGGAGACTTGTTCTTTCACTTTTGTCAAGTTTCTTTAAAAAATTCCAGAGTTTAAAATAAATCCCGGTAATTGCGAGGGGACTTTGCTCACGATTCTGTACATTTACGCGGATTAAACTGCAAATCACTCGCAGAATGTAAGAGTTGATATTATGGTTTTACTGGAGATGGTGGAATGTCAGCAGACGACAGTCGAACTCAACATTTTGTTTATATTTCGTTCCAAAAAGCTTCTGTACTATTAGAGATTCTAAGGGTCCAGATTAGCAGTTTTTAAAATTAATTCCCTCGGAGATTCAATTGCTGATGGAAATAACCGCCGGATAATTCTCATTTCTCATATATTCTTGGGAATTCATTCATTCACTTTTCTAAAGTTTTTTTTTTTAGAAATTCCAATGCATATCCTAGAGTTTAAAATAAATCCGGATCATAACAAACTAAAGGTTTTGTATTTACGCGTATTAAACTGCAAAAGAACCAATATGGCTTTATCGGACATAGTGGAATGTAAAAAAATTCAAATCGAACTCAAAATTCAACTATTTTATTCGATTAAAAAGCTTCTGTACTATTAGAGATTCTGAGGGTCTACGTTCCAATTTTTTTAATTTCCTTCCTCGGTGATTTCATTGCTGACGGAAGTAACCGTCCAATAATTCTCATTTTTTCGTATACTCTTGGAAATTTTTTCTTTCACTTTTAAAATTTTTTATTTGGAAATGTGAGCCCACATCCTAGAGTTTAAAATAAATCCCGGTAAGTACGTACTGAATCTACTCACAGTTTTGTATATTTACGCGGATTAACCCGCAAATCACTCGCAGAATGTAAGTCCGAAAAGCTTCTGCAGTATTGGATATTCTGAGGGTCTAGGTTCCGACTTTTCTATTCACTCCTTCAGAGATTCAATTGCTGAGAATTAATAATTTTTTCATATATTCTTAGAATTTGTTCTTTTAATTTTCCAATTTTTTTTTAGAAATGCCAGTCTGCATCCTAGAGTTTGAAATAAATACCAGTAATTACGAACTAAATCTCCTCATTGTATTTACGCAGATTAAACTTCAAATGAGTTGATATGGTTTTACTGGAGATGATGGAATGTAAGCAGACAACAATCGAACTCGAAATTTTGCTTATATTTCTCTCCAAAAAGCTTCTGTACTATTAGAGATTCTGAGGGTCTACGTTCCAATTTTTTCATTCCCTTCCTCAGTGTTTCAATTGCTGACGGAAATAACCGTCCGCTAATTCTCATTTTTTCGTATACTCTTGAAAATTTTTTCTTTCACATTTCAAATTTTTTATTTTGAAATTTCAGTCCACATCCTAGAGTTTAAAATAAATCCCGATAAGTACGAACTGAATCTACTCACGATTTCCTATATTTACGCGGATTAAACCGCAGATCACTCGCAGAATGTAAGTCCGAAAAGCTTCTGCAATATTAGATATTCTGAGGGTCTAGGTTCCGACTTTTCTATTCACTCCTTCAGAGATTCAATTGCTGATAATTATAATTTTTCCATATATTCATTTTGTTCTTTTACTTTTTCAATTTTTTTTAGAAATACCAGTCTGAATCCTAGTTTGAAATAAATTCCAGTAATTACGAACTAAATCTCCTCATCGTATTTACACGGATTAAACTGCAGATGAGTTGATATGGTTTTACCGGTCATAGTGCATGTAGATATACGGAAATTCGCTGTTGGAGGCGGATGTATGCATCGGTTCGGAATGAGAATTCAACAATTTCAGGGTAAATATGACTGAATCCCTTCTGTTCTGAGACCGGCGAAAGCTTTCATCGCTGATAATGTTATTTGAAATCAATATCTGATCAATGGAATCAGGTAGCGAGAGGGGGAGGCAGAGAGTTTCGAAAACATCGTCGATTTGCAATAATTATCAGGTACAGAGGGAAATATGAATTGAAGAGTTTGAATAAACACTCGGAGATTTTACGCGGGATGAATGGAACCTGTGGAACCTCGTCTATTTGCCGTCAGAGTTCGCTCTCACTCGGAGGCGCGGGTACGCCTAGAGGTGCCCCATCCCATTGTCATTGATGCTGGCTGTAACTTTATTTAACACTTCCCGTAGCAACCATCGTGAACACGGTGGTGGGACGCGTGTTTTCCTTTAATGTCGTTATCCCGAAACTGGGGATGTACGTTAAATGAATTAACCGAGTTGGTCACTATTGCTTGGGTTATTCATTCTTTCAGAATACTCGGGCCTGCGGTTGACGAGGTGACATTCAGAATTAAATTATTATTATTATTTTTTTTTAATGGGAGAAATTTAAGAGATAAAATGCAGTAGCGAAGTGGTAAAAGGAGATAAGTCAATTTTCACTACTGACCAGTTTTCATTCAATATCTCGAAATCTAAGGGAGATAGCAAAATTTTTGTTATAACCTTTTTTGTGGAGCCGATTGAGTGCTACAAAAAATGTAATCACAAAAATTTCGCTATCTCCTTTAGATTCGGAAATATTCCTCAAAAACTCAACTGGGAGATAAGTCGACTTATCTCCGTTTACCACTTTACTACTGATTTAAATTGCTGCAATGACCGTTATGGCTGGGAGAAGTTGAATATTAAAGAAGAAAAAGTCTTTAAATTTCCATTCAACCGTCTAATCAATTACTAATAGATTCTTCGGCCATAACGCGAAAAACAAATCTTTAAAATACTTGGATTTCCGCATGAATAAAAAGGTCTAACAGAATCACCCGAGTTAATCACAACAACCCTCTCGCATTCATCCCCCGTGTACCAACACGATAAACTGGATGGGAAGAAGCATCCATAAATAAACAATTCAAAATCATTCAATTTCGAATGGAAAAAGATCAAAATGGTTTTTTGTTCGAAAACTCTGTTATCGAATCAATTGACATTTGTTATCAAATAAAGTGCCAATCCACCAGCTAATTGCAACATGCGTCCTGCGCTCTCAAAAGCCTGTGTACAAACAACAGACCAGAATTCATTGTGTTCTTTTCAATAAATTCGAAAATAATCGAAACAGCAGTATTCAGTCTCAATAAAAACATATTTTTTTGTTACATAAATGTCATCAATGCCTTCAACAGCATAACAAGAACAGCATTGAAAGAATAGTTTTTATCGATAAATATTTGTGAAAGAGACGATTGTACCAATGACTCGGGTAAATAAAATGAGTGCATTGGACCAATTCACTGACTAGACAGAGATGATGCGTGAGCTTTTTGTTCTGGACTCATGCCAATTCCTTCATTCATTCTCCACAAAATTTATAATATTGATGGAGTTGTACTGTTGGGGGAAGTGTGCAGAGAGGTCCATTGCCTGCAATTACAGGTGCTTCTATGGAATTCTCGTGTTATCAAAATTCTCACAGACCCGGACGCATTTCCAAATGGTAATTGAAGCACTGGGGCCGGGGGAGAGGCTGGAGGCAATTGATACAGTGCTGCACAGAGAGATGAGTGGATTCTGCGAGGATTATCAGTTCGATACAATTCACTCATAGCTAAAATTTGGCCCTCGTATGGCTCGCTTAACATTACCAAATGATAATTAGCGGGCTAAATCACAGAGCTGACCATACCATGGGCGAAATTAATTTTAGCACTCATGAAAGAGCAAATGCAACGCTAATTTTTTTTTTTCGAAGCCCACGGCTCATCGAGTGAAATCATTAATCGTAATTGCTGTTTCGGTAAAAGTCAATTCAACTTATTTCATTAGGTCGGGAGTGGAGTGGTATAATGCGGCTGAAGGGGCGAGTCCATTTTTCATGAGATGGTGAAGAGAGAATTTTTTGAAGATCATGATGGCCATTTGTAAAACATTATTTGATTAGTTTTATATAAAAAAGAATTGGAGAAAATTTGATGTGGGCAAGGGAAAAAAAGTATATCGACATGGAAATAATTATGAAACTCTTAAGCTCTCCGGGTATAGTTGGAGAAAATGTTGAACTGATGAGAAAAATTAATGAGAAGTTTTTTATTTAGGAGGCTTTTTCCAAATTAATTAATTAAAGATTGTTGTCTACTAGAGTTGGAATTTCATGTCCATAAATTTTTAATCATGTTGCGGTGAAATTTTCTTCGATAGCGAGGGGTTTTAGAGGATAGAGGGGTTTAAGAATATCAGGATATAGTTTCGTGAATATATTGGTAACAAAAAGGTTTTTTGATAAAAAGTATATCTGCGTGGGATTAATTATGAAACTCTTAAGCTCTCTGGGTATAGTTGGAGAAAATGTTGAACTGTTGAGAAAAATTAATGAGAATTTTTTTATTTAGGAGGCTTTTTCTAAATTAATTAATTAAAGATTGTCATTGACTAGAGTGTGAATTTCATATCCATAAATTTTGAATC